CGTAATCTAGTCTTTTTCTGTGAAGTTTTTACGGTTCGAATTCCCATCGTTAAAACTTGAAAATAAGACGCGACATTGCGATTCACGAGGTTCTCGGGGGCGTGGGAGGGCCGGTGATTTCGAGTGTCGAGAGGAAGTCCGTTCCAGTGGACGAAGTTCCACTCAGCCGTGCGCTTCCGGCGTCAGCTTCCGGACGTCACTGAAGACGGACGGCGTGTCCCTAGGAAGTGATAGATTTTTCTATATTTAACATTTGTCGAAAAAGCCCCGACGGTTTTTTATCCTGCTGGCCTCTCTCGCCGTAAGGACGATCAAGGCGCATTTACCTCGAGACGATAGTGTTCCCGGGCGACGACGGACAAGTTCTGTCGGTTTATCGAGTCTCGTATTGTCACTACGGCCTTGAGGGTTTTTTTCCCCTTGAAAGAAGCAGAATGAAATTTCATGGCCCTACGAATTCGGGCACCATGTCGGATCCAACGCCACCCAAGAAGATAGATTGACACTGTTCTACAGAAAAACTAAATCAAAGTACAGTACAAAGTAAAGTTTAGTTTTATCATTTGAAACCAAACAAAACACAAAGGGTCAAATCACAAAGCATTAAACTAAATATAATTCCCTAGTTTTCGTGGTCCGCGTGACCAATTAATATCTTTCAATTAATTAAGGTTTTTAGTTGAGATAAAAAAGTCAATGTCACGAGCAGGATTCGAACCCACGACTTTCGGTTAAATACGCAGCTGAACCCATTGAAAATGGCAAAAAAGAGGGAAGGTTGGTGCCGAGAGGATCGAAGTCACGATAGCTCAAATGGTAGAGCAGCAGCGTATCTAGCCGAAGATCGTGGGTTCGAATCCCGCTTGTGACATTGACTTTTTTATCTCAACTAAAAACCATAATTAACTAAATTTAATAAAAGTTCGTATACGATACATTATGTCGGTAAGGACCACTGGAATAAGACCACTGGAGACTGGAAAAAAATGTAGGCATTCGGATTCGTTCGGTGGGAGGGAGAGAGGGAGGGAGTGAGAGAAAGTTGGTTAGGAAGGTTTAGAAAAAATAGAAGGAGTGAGAGAGAGAGAGAGAGAGAGAGAGAGAGAGAGAGAGAAAGAGAGATGGTTAAGGATGTTTAGAGAAAGATCATTTAAAAAAAGAGAAAGAGAGTTGGTTAGGGACGGTTAAGAAAGAGAGAGAAGTTGTTAGAGATGTTTAGTGTTAGGGAAGTTTAACAAAAAAAAGAGAAAATAGAGTTGGTATGGGATGATTAAAAACGGAAGAAGGTGAAAAAGAGAGAAAGAGACAGACAGAGAGAGGAGAAAGAAAGAAAGAGAAAGTGAGAGGGAGAGAGAGAGAGAGAGAGAGAGAGAGAGAGAGAGACAGACAGACAGACAGACAGACACATAGACTTGTTATACACGCTATAACATTTTAATGAATCCAAGAGAGACAAATTTAATTGATATAATAATAATAAAATTCATTATATTTAGTAGTCTATTGACCAAATTACTTCTTTCAATTAATTAATCTTTTTTATGTAAGGTTTTGGTCGAAATGAAAAATGGCCAAAAGGAGGGAAAATTCGAAAGGCTGTTGGTTGGTGTCCGAGTGGATCGAAGTCACGACAGCTCAAGTGGTAGAGCAGCGTATTTAGCCGAAAGTCGTGGGTTCGAATCACGTCGTGGCACTAACTTTTTCATTTCGACTAAAACATTACATAAAAAAGATTAATAAATAAAATTAATTAGTTCAGATCCCTACAGTCGTACCAGCAAACACAAATTCCTTTTCCAACACATGCCGTTAACGTTCTAATTCTCTTTCCAAAAAATAATCGTCTGAATTTAGAAATAATGGAAGAAACTGTCCTAAAATGCAAATCGTTTCCTCTCTTTCCAAATATCAAAGTTAACATAACTAAATTTCTTTATTATAAACATACATATATTCAAGTGTAATAGATCACTAATTAATTAATTAATCACTGATTGAACTTAAGTACAAATTGTTTTGTTTTTCTAACAAATCTGGTTGGGGTTAGCTTGAAACGGTCTCATTTTAACCAACAATAATTAAACTAATGTACCCAGTAACTTAACTTAGTAATTTAACTTAATATTTACATAGCTAACGCAAAATTATCAAATATCTACTTAACATAAGTACATTGATATTTACAATTATTTGTTTTACTTAGTCTGCAGGAGATTTTGATGGGGATGTTTGCATCTTGGTTAATTTCCCAACAAGTCATAGAAGTTTATTGTTATACTTGTTTTGCTGTCTTAACTTGTAAGTTGTTATATAGTGCTGTACTGGTAAAACAGGCTAAAGTTTGTGTTTAACGGTTTTTTTATGTCTTCTCCTACTTTTCTCTTATAGCCCTCCCCAAGCTCTTTGATGCAAATCCTGTATCACGTTGCATAACATATATTTTTATAGAAAAATTTTGAAATCGGACTAAATTTCCAGTAGTTTTTATATAGTATTTAATTCCTCTGGTTTCTTCCCTATCTGCAGAAATTGCAAGCTTCTCAAAATAAAGAGTGGAAAAACAATTACCTTCAGGTTCCTTCCATAGGTTGCATAGTAGTCATTCCATGTTAGTCAGTCGACCGTAGTACTAAGTTCAATACCAATAAATCTTTCATAATTAACTTGACATGAAACTAAAAAACAAAACCTGAATCTAATAATTGCATTTTACAAAAATGTTGATAGACTGATTGTATATAATCAGTAATGAGGTGGCTGTTTTGAAAAATGTTCTTTTTTGATGAAGTATTCTCTCAAACTACAGAAATTTAAATTTTGCAGAAAATAACACCTGATAAACTTTTTCTGTAATGTGAACATGAAATAGAGGCGATGGCCAAGTAGAGTGGTTGCCCATGTGCAATAAACTAATAACAGGTTACATTATCCATTTCCGAAATATTCCGTAAAAGCCCATTTCCCCCAACATTTATAGTAATACATCATCGAGCCGAATCATTAAAACTTACGCAACTCCGGGTTAAATTTTATTGTCGGGACCGGTTTCGGAGACAGGTGCCGTTCCCGTCACGTAGCATATTGGGAGGTTAATGCAGTGCTGCGGACGAGCGGTAGGCTGTAATCCAAGAGGGGTCACGTCCCCCGGCTAATGGGTTATCTTCACAGGCCGACTCTTCCCAAGGAAAATAAAGAAGTTCACATGCTCCTTCAATTGTCAGGATGCAGCGGAAGATTTCTCGTGCCTACACGCAGAGAAAGTAGATGTTCGAGCACGAAAGAGTGACGAATAAGTTTGTATTTAACAAGGTGCATACACAAAAAAAAAAGGTATTTCATCATTTAAACTCTCTTGTAGAGCACTAAGGTCGTTTATAAACATTCTACTGACTGAAACTTCAATAAAGTCTGTCAAAGAAGAAACAAGAGGGTTTCTAATTTTCTCCTCTTTTTAGATATTATTCATTAATAATTTATAGCCGTGAAATTACTAAATAAAAAATGGAAAGAGTCCTTCCTCTATTACTATCCCACGTCTTTGGAAAGGAAGAACTCAAGGTGGCTATATATGGACATCTATGAGAATAAGATCTAGCCACAAGAACTCGCGCAGTTTCCAGGAAGTGAATTGTCTATCGTCGTTATTCGCCATAAAAGACATGGGGAAGGTGAAAAGAACAGTAGAAGACTATGGAATCCGGTGAGGAAATAGAAACACGAAAAAAAGCGTAATGGATATGAGGTTTTATTGAATGATTTTCATGTAGGAATAAAAGTGGATTTGCTGACAAAATACTGATAACCTTCGCTAGTTGGTCGAATAGCTTTTAACTTCACTTCAAGCTGAAGGTACTTTTCGCGCCATTTTTTCTAATTTATTATTAATAGCAAGTTCAGCAACATCCGTGCAATCTACACGATAAACAGGATTTAAATCAGCTATAATGTAGTGGGCCAATTAAATATTGACCTACCTTGACTGTTCCATTGCGCAACTGATCTGATTCATTTGGTGCTAAAGCGCCATTATGGTGTTCTTATATTACTGTGGTAATTGGTGATGTAGCGAATAATGGCTGCCTGAGCAGCCCTGAAGCTTTTTGGTATTTCCTTATCTTAGGTATCCCTCCATTTCCAGGGGTTGGAAACCACTGATGGGCATAAGGACTTGTTATGGCTGTATGTATTTGAAACAGAAGGGGCACATTATTGGCTTAGTATGTGCTTAATGACCTACACAACTGCGGTGTACAAAAAAGAATGCACAAAAAATATTTTAATCGCTGGGAACGATACCTCAGTAAAGACGATCTGTTACAACAACATAACTCAAGACCGCACCTCCAATCCGACCAATATGTGTGCCAAACTGTCCACTGTAGGCCAGATGGCATTCCTTCAGACCAATGCTTCGTTACGTTTACATAACTCGAATGGCAGAATTTTTCAACCATCGAAAGGATACCTGCGTGGGATTGAGCAACTCTCTTTTAGATGACTAATGACAGTGGATCGTAATTGATACATTTTGATGTTGAAAAACTTACTGTTTTTACTATTTGGCCGAATAAAATTCAGTTACTTGGTCTTATTTTTAAAGAAAATAAGTTTGGAATGACACAAACGTACTTTTATTAATATTAATTTTAGTATTATCGTATTTTAATAGGATTGGATAGGATTAGAAGTGGCAATATTGTTTTACTGTATATATACATCAATTATCTCAACCTCAGCTAAGTTGAAAAGCTCGCTAATGAGAATCGCTCGCTTGTCCGTACAAATGATCGATCGACCGAGTAAACATTACATTCAATCTCAATCCGACCTCGCAGCTAAGCACCGTGTGGAGTGGCATGCGAATAGGTCACAATTCTCTGACCCAGTGGAATATTCGACCTCGGCCGAGTACAAATGACAGTATACGGAAACGCAGAAAACATTCCAAGAAAATCACAAGGAAAAAGGTCATTTTTGTAATAAAATTTTTAATTTCTTACCTAGACGATAACAATCCTGTGGCACCATGAAGTAGTCTGAAACAGAAAAAGTTGTATTAATAAAAGCCAAACTCTTGATTTACATATTATGTATGATAACCCTGAAGTATTTAAGCATCTTTGTTTGTTTCTACTAGGGTTGTAGTAAAATAAAACCAATGAAAAAAGGTAGATCATCTCAAATCTGGATCATCAGCGGGTAATCCAAGAGACTGAATCAATCGTACCGAGTCATCGACCCTCCCCTGTACAATCCTGTGCACTAGACATAATAACATCGCCAGATAAAGTCCGTGCGGATTCATCGAAGAATGCATATAAATACTGGAAAATGGACATGCCTCGTTATAATTCAGATGGTCTTAGCTGTAATTGACGAGTCGAACGCCGGCGCTTGTCCTCCTGGAGGAATGCCGTCGGAGCATTCGATGAATTTTTTCCCCAGTTCTACAATTAATGTCAGTGCACTTGAAGGTCTTTCAGATACAATGAACTTCGTCGTTTTATTGACAAATCTTATTCGAAACGCATATTTGTTTAAATCGAAACGTCCATTTAGGTTTTAAATTTCTTTAACATAATAAAACCGCAATAAATCGTAGGAAAATAAATATTATGAGCGTAGCGAGAAAAAAGCATAAAACGAGCTTAAAGCTTTGAAGGGAAACGGAACGAGATTCACTGCCGCAGGTAAGGGCTCTTTTAAATTGCTCATTCCGGCTTAATGGAATGTATAAGTTCTCAACTAGAGTGGATGCACTGAATAAAGAAATTTCTTTCCAGAACTGATTGTTAGGAGGAAAAAGGAGTATAAAAGGAATGGGAATGCACGAACGGAAGAACGCTTGAAGTTAAACTTACATCATTCAAAGGTAACGATGTAATTTTATAAAGTGGTTTTATCTCTTCACCCCAATAAACAACAGAAGAATCCAATTAAATGTTGACTATTTTACTTCTGTACGTGGTTTTTTACCGATCATTATGGCCTGCTAATCTTTGACTATTTGACCTGATACACAGTAGACACATACCTCATTCATCTGATTTGGGTCGTGAATATAGGAAGAAATAGGCACAGTCCAGTGAAGATGAAAAGAAGCCGAAACACACCTGACAGATCAAAGCTAAAAGCTTATTGAGCATGATGAGGAACTTTAGTTTGGTCGTATCCGATAATTTTGGTCCCGTTCTTCTTGTTATTTTGCCTATCAGACAGTAATATTTGTGAGTCTGTTTGAAAACGCGGCAAAAAAGCAAGATGATAGGCAGGCAGTGCAAAATGGTCGGAAAGAACGAAAATATATGTTCATCATTTCAGACTATCTAGATACCATCTGCAATCACCAAATTTAACTAAACCATTTTTAATTTCATTTCAAATAATACAGTAAGGTCTGTCCATAAGCTATAACATTGAAGACCAAGTGTAAGCCATATCTATTATAGTAATGTACTTTAGCCCAATGACGAAAATATTTTTTTGTAACCTTGTTGAAAGTATAAATTATTTTGTACGGTCTGCAAGTTGATCTACCTATATTTTGGTCGTTTTCGATCATTTTGTCCCTCCTTACCTTGCTACTGTCGCCTATCAGGCGTAGACATTTACCAGAGGGTCTGTCTGAATATTGTGCAAACTAAAAGAGCAAAGATATATACCAAAATTAAAAGAAACGACCAAACCGCAGGTTCATCGCACCGTACACCTCAAGAGATCTCGCCAAGCTCAATAAGCCTGTTCAGTAAATTTACCTATCTAGATATCTATTTAAAATCACCAATTTAGTCAAATTTTATTTAGTTTATTTTTAGTACGAGTACTGCAAGTGACAGCCACAGGTCCAAAAAAATGACGCATAGAACTTTAATTTTGTACAAAACTTTTGCACCAATTTAAGACCATATACCACCCCACCAATGATGAAATGAAAATATTTTATCGTTATCTTGTGACATTTTCCTTGGGGTCTGCGGCGTGATAAAATTGTAGTTTGGTCGTTTCCGATCATTTTGGTTTTCTTTGGTCTGCGACCCGGCATACTTCAGTGGTGGATTGGTCTGAAAATGGGATAAACCGGAATAGTGAAAACGGGCAAATTAAAATTTTCCAAAACGACCAAATCACGCGTTCGTTCAATGCAGACTCGAAGAGGAGATCTCTCAATGCACACTAATTGTAAGCCCGATCAGACTAATTATCTATCTAGACCTATATCTATAAGCGCCAAATTTAATCAAACATTTATTTAGTTCAATTTTAGTATAAAGAATACTTAAACTCTGCCATTAAGCTTCCGAATAGGTGTAGCATTTTATCAGTGCCTTTGGTCTTTCTATTTTCGATGTTTTGGTAAATAAGATCATCATCTTCAGTGATCAGTATGTTTTCATGGTTGGACATACAAATAATTTTGTGAAATTTTCTCTTTGGGTCTGCGGGATGATTAACTACACTTTGGACTGCTTATACTCGCTGTTTTGGTCTATTAGACGTGCACTTTTAATGGTGGGTCCGGTTGAACATGATACAAACTTGAACAGAGCAGATAGGTGAAACTTCCAAATACAGGTTCATTCACCAAAAAGGTACATCCAAAAATTAAATATCATATTTTTACTTATGCTAATCATTTATACGGACAGATCAAGTAGTAGATAGCATAAGATTACAAAGCTTATAATATATACACGAAATGATATATCAATTGATCAGTGAGCTGAACAATGAGTTATATTTGTCTCTTAGAAAAACTATTAACTTTTCTAAGGTTCGAGGAACAAGTTCATGGCCGTCGAGCTTATCTGCTTCATTAATCCAAGCCGTCATGACACCCTTCCATAACTACTAACTCCATAAATTAAACACTGTCCAATTAATAATCGATTTACAACAAGTGCTCGTTCTGATGAGCGTGGCCGGTGAAAAAGGCTTGTTACTCGTTGTTACCCCGTGGGCCGTTCCATTGTACCCGGCCCGATTGATTACACCTGATGAAGGAGCCCTGATTCAGTCGAACGGCCGGCGTACCTTAAACGGTCATCACTCTTTGACCTTGGGCCTCTTCTTCTCAACACTTTCCTTTGTAAGGAGGGAAGATTCCCATGGATGAAACGATAAGAGCCGCGGCTCGCATGACGTGATCCGACTTCCAAAATAACTCATTTCACAAATCGCTAGTAAAAATTACGGTTTATTTACACACAAGGGGGTGGGTCACGAATCGAATCGAGAAAGATAGAAACATTTCCCCGGCTCTGCAATTACTCTGAAGAAGGTACAAATTGTGACTGGTGCTATAGTAATTTATAGTGCTTTGAATTTGAGTAAATTAAAACGACTGTTTGGCTTACTTTAAAATTAATTGGCAAAACGTAAAATTTAATAAAACACTAACCCATCATTGAATATGATGAGAAGTCATAATGTGTCTCACAGACCACACCAGATAAGTAAGCCAAATTATAAGAAACGACGAATTACCAGATCTCTATAGGTATTTCACAACAATAAAAATAGAAAAAACTACCAAGTATCAAGTTGATATAGCCTTCAGAAAAGGTTTACTGACTATTAATTATACATAAAGTGACATGCGATGAACTATCCTTATATATCCAAAAGATTTGAATTAAATGATAGCATACTTTTATTTTTAAATGATCCAACTCATTTACTTTGATTTCATTATACATACCATTTCTTTCAAAAAATTTATTTTCATCTTACCACAAACTATCAAAATGCCTTGAGGTGTTATTTTTAAACTGTGTAGAAAAACTCCATATTTCGATTTTGACACAAACTTTAATACTTACACCTTTATTCGTAGTTAAGAAAAAAGGTCATCATCATCAGTGGTAAGTTTGAGTGAATAACTGGAGGAATTGGAGACACAGATCTAAGGAGGTTTGCAAACCACAGGTTGATCACCCCACCGACCTCAAGCATAATATCACAATAAAAAACATAGAACATCGAACAAAACAAACCTTAAAACACGAAGCTTTTTTTACGTTAAGTTAGGTAAATAAAAGTAAAGCTCCATTTCTCCGAGATTATTCGTCAGAAACATACTTTGATTAATACCATCATCTAACTTGAGAATAAATAGTTAAATTTCTCGTAGTAGCTTGTTTGTCCAACCCGTTTCTTCTTCCCATCATCATCATTGATGAGTCAGTGGGAAGACCTGTAGACATAGACCCAAAACTGAAGATGGCAATAAATCGAAACATGTCTGACAGTTCAAAATAGCGAGGATAGGCAAATCAAAATTAACACAAATGAACTAAGTACAGGCGTATCATCCCACAAATCTCAAACATACTTTCACAACAAAAAATAAAAGAAATAAACAACCAAAAATTTTGAAACAATATTTTAAAGTGGTTAGCAAAATGAAAGAAAGCTTACATATCTTCAAAAAATTTCATTAAAATCTTTGGTATATCCAACGTTAAGAAAAAAAGATCTCCGAAAGTAAACTAACATTTTTTACCTAAAACATTTATTTATTTGTTTGGTCCTTTCCAATTTGGTCCGCTTATCCACACTTTGTTCTGTCCAACGCGTTATGGCCTTTTACCTTCTGCGTGTGGTGTCTTTGTTAAGCTTAAGACCTAAAGACGCACCACGGAAGATGCTGACAAGCCGAAATGGGTTAATATTACACAATAAAAAATAGAAAAACTACCAAAAATCTTAAACTTGATGCTTTTTGTTAAGAAAATGAAAGAAACCTATGACATTTTTTTGTTAGAAACATTCTTTGATGAATGGCCAATGACCAATAGTGGTCTGATTGACCAAATTACTTCTTTCAATTAATTAATCTTTTTATTTAAGGTTTTGGTTGAAATGAAACTATTCATATCCTTGGATGAGAAACTTTAGCCATAAACACACTTTTCTTGCATTAAACATTTGTCTTTAAAATAAATCTTTTGGTTATTTCCGATTTGGTCCGTTTATCCTCGCTTGGTTATTCTAGAAACTACCGTAATATCCTCTCTGTTTCGGCTTCTCCTCATCT